AAATGTGAGCCAAAATCATCCCAATTAAAAGAACCAAAGACTTAAACTACTTCAGTCTGTGTGCATTGAATTTATTTAATACACGAGTTTCACAATTTGAGTTGAATTACTGAAATAAATGAACTTTTCCACGACATTCTAATTTATTGAGATGCACCTGTATAGTTTGTTTTACTTATATATATACTTTACCTTTATGTGTAAGTTTTTGGAATAATAAATTCAGTGTCAGAATGGAAAGATTTCTGGCTTCTGTCCAATTAAGTTCTTAGCTCTTTTTAAATGATAAACTTGCTCTTTTTGTCATCATTTTGAAGAAACAACTATTTTACTTATTTTGGACTGATTTTTCTAATTTTATTTAAAAAACAAATGTATCCCCAAGCTTTTGTACAGGTCAAAAATGTTGCTTTCTGGTGACTCTTTGAAACATTCAACATTCAAAAATGTAAATTTTAAAAGAAAACACCTTATTTTTTATTCCCAAGAAAGATATTGATGTGTAGTTGAGGAATTCTAAGGATATTTTAATGAATGCTAAAGATTTTTTTTTGCATAATAAAAAAATGTATTCATGTTAAAAAAATAAATTGTTTTTCATTAAGTAACATTTATTCTACTTACAATATCTGTTATAAATTATCTATAAAAGTAAATAATATTGGATGACTTCTTGTTCTGATGTTATCAGAACTGCTGTGGTTATCATGTAAGGTAAGACGGGTAAAACGCCTCCTCTACAAACAGCTAAAATTGCAACCTAGAGTATTTAGTGTTGAGTTTAAACACAGAATGCATCATCCAAGATATTATTATCAACATAAATAAATATAGCCAATGATCAGTTGTTATGACAAAAAAAATTAAAGAGATGGCCTACCTTGGCAAAGAGTTCTCAGAAGACAAGAACATCCTTGAAATTGTTCAGATGGAATACAGTAAATCTCATGCTCAGATCAAAACATTTATGGCTTTTTTGCTTTTTTTATTTATTTTTTTTGTATGTATGCATCTGGCAGACACTTTCATCCAAAGTGAGATTGCATTCAAGCTTACATTTTATCAGTTCATGCATTCCCCGGATTCTTCATGCCAGATGCATAAACAAACAAATAAACAAATATTTGATTACTCAAAATGTTTTGACCTGAGCGTGAACATACGTGAGATGCATTTCATCCAATGTTTTAATGATTTTTTGCTATCTGATAAATCAACTGATCAGTGGCAATAACAACGACATTATAGCAAATGTGTTTCATTCATGCAGTTCATGCACTTTTAAGAAAAAGAGAAATGACTCCAGACAGCACACCACACAAATGAGTGTTTTGCTGCAGTTTCAGTGGTATGAACATACGTGAGATGCATTTCATCCAATGTTTTAATGATTTTTTGCTATCTGATAAATCAACTGATCAGTGGCAATAACAACGACATTATAGCAAATGTGTTTCATTCATGCAGTTCATGCACTTTTAAGAAAAAGAGAAATGACTCCAGACAGCACACCACACAAATGAGTGTTTTGCTGCAGTTTCAGTGGTTGTGCAGGAATGTGAGTCTCCATCTGACATGCATTTTTAATGACTTTCTCTTTGCATGCACAGGTGGATTCCAGCAGTAGTGCAGGTGTCACATATACACCTGTTGCTAAGACACATAAACCAGCTTCACACTGGACAACACTAGACCTTCATATGACACTGTTGAACTGTATGTAGAAGATGAGGGGTGACGAAGACATCAGTGTTCACAGTCTCTCTCTGGACTCCCTCAGCTTGACCGACTATGAGAATCCACACGACGTGATTCTGGAGGATGAAGGCGACACAGAGCCGGACGCTCAGGGTAAGGAACGGATATGTACTGTAGATCTGAATTCAGGGTTTGTGCTGCAAATTTGAAATGAGGCACCAAACAGGATGCAGATTCATAACTGCAATATAAATTAAAATAAATAAATGTGACCCTGGAGCACAAAAGCTGTCTTAAGTTGCCGGGGTATATTTGTCACTGAATATGTTTTTGTTTAAAAAAAAAAAGTGAATTTATCAGACAGTTCTGACTCTTATTTTCTTAGAATTGCGAGTTATAAAGTCAGAATTGCAAGATTTAAACTCATAATTCGGAGAAAAAAAAGTCTGAATTGCGTGATATAAACTATAAGCCTTTTTTATTTTTTATTCAGTGGCAGAAACAGGTTTCCATAAAACTCACATTAAAAGGAAGGTAATTCAGTTTCATAAAGTACTTTATTTGCATGATTCTGTTTACATACAATATTGCTAAAGCATTATACACAAAACAAGTAATGACTATATATATATATATATATAAGCTGGGTGCGTGTTGCTTTGCGTGAACCCGTGCTGCTATATGGGTATTACAAGTTAAAAGAGCCAGTCTACGCCCAATAGGGGATATTATCTCGCAGAAGAAAAAAATAAATGAATAAAATAAACACAATAAAATTTTTAAATAGTTTTCCACACGGTCCGAAATTACTTTTAGACTGAGAGACAGTAAGTGACTCCCAAAAACAACACATGTAGCATTAAAAAATTAAAAAAAAAAAAAAATAATAAATATATATATATATATATATATATATATATATATATATATATATATACAATATAACAATAAAAATTAATAAAAAATTGTTTATCATTTTTATTTTAAACATTTACAAAACCTTTCAATGAAGAATAAGAATTTAAAATGGGGAGAAAATCTCATTATGAAATAAATGTTTTTTTCTCTAATACACACTGACCACAATTAATCGTGCCCTTTTATTCAATACTTTTTGAAGCCTCAATTTGCCAAAATAACAGCTCTGAGTCTTCTCCTATAATACCTGATGAGGTTAGAGAGCAGCTGATAAGAGATCAGAGACCATTCCTTCATCCAGAATCATTGATTTTGATTGTTTTTGGATCACTGTCCTGTTGGAAGATCAACCAAGGCCCATCTTGAGTGTTTGCTGCTAAAAAGCTGATTTTTTGTTCTGTCTGACGACAGATCCAGGTCCGGTCGTGTCCGACAGCTCGAGTTTGTCTTTAGATGAGAGCATTTTCTTTTCTTGAAATTCTCCCAAACATCATGTGGTGAAGTAGGTGCTGTTTGAAATGTTTTTATGCTTTCTGACCCCGAAACTCAACTATTTTCTGCAATTCTCCAGCTGTGGTCATTGAAGAGTCTTTGGCCACCCAAATTCTCCTCGTTGCCTTGCTTTAAGACAGTTTAGACACACATCCTCTTCCAGCAGAGTCGTATCATTTCCAGTTGATTGGAAATTCTTCATTATTGCACTGATGGTGGAAATGGGAATTTTCAATGCTCTTTTCCTACAGCAACTTTTTATTTTGTGAAGCTCAACAATCTTGTTCTGCACGTCAGAACTATATTCTTTGGTTTTCTCATTGTGATGGATGATTAAGGGAATTTGGCCTTTGTGTTCCTCATATTTACACTCATGTGAAACAGGAAGCCATGGCTGGATAATTTCATGTTCCTAGTCACAAAAATACTGGTGTGCAAAAAAAATTGTAAATAAGAATGAGAATATACTTCAGAGATATTTTAATATTTATTTTACACGACTGTGTGTGTGTGTGTGTGTGTGTGTGTGTGTGAGAGAGTGAGAGAGTGTGTGTGTGTGTGTGTGTGTGAGTGTGTGTGTGTGTGTGTGTGTGTGTGTGTGTGTGTGTGTGTGTGAGAGTGCGAGTGCGAGTGCGAGTGCGAGTGCGTGTGAGTGTGAGTGTGTGTGTGTGTGTGTGTGTGTGTGTGTGTGATATTCTTAATGTGATATGCGTTCTTCAACAGTGAATTTTGCCCAACCTTGTACTCATGTCAAGTCAAGTCACCTTTATTTATATAGCGCTTTTAACAATACAGATGGTGTCAAAGCAGCTTTACAGCATCAAAATAGGAAAATAGTGTGTCAAAAGGACAATAGTAGACACTCAATACAATATAAGAAATGATGAGAAATGACTGCTCTGGTGTTTTTCTCCAGTATCAGAGGTGAAGCTCATCAGGAAGGACCTGTCCACTGAAGAATTATACCTACAGGGCTGTCAGCTGGTGGGAGTCGTTCCTGTCAGATACTTCCTCAGAAACCTGGGCTCTGCCACCATTAACCTCAACCATCATGGACTCGGTCCTCTGGGAGCAAAAGCCCTGGCCATCGCTCTAGTGGTAAGACTGGCCGTTTCTGATGTTTCTGATGATCTACAGCTGATGTGCTGATCTCAGACGCTCTGTGTGTGTAGACGGACATGCACACCACAACACTGGAGCTGGCAGACAACTCCCTGTTAGCCGAAGGGGCCAGATATCTCATGGAGATGCTGAGGGCCAATTTCACCATTCACAATCTTGTAAGTCTATTTTACTGTTCACCTGTTGTGATAAATTTGTCCACTAGAGGGAAGCAAAATGTTAACTTCTGGCGTCTTCCAGGATCTCTCTGACAATCACCTTCAGTCTGCTGGAGCCGAGTCGGGCTCTGCCACCATTAACCTCAACCATCATGGACTCGGTCCTCTGGGAGCAAAAGCCCTGGCCATCGCTCTAGTGGTAAGACTGGCCGTTTCTGATGTTTCTGATGATCTACAGCTGATGTGCTGATCTCAGACGCTCTGTGTGTGTAGACGGACATGCACACCACAACACTGGAGCTGGCAGACAACTCCCTGTTAGCCGAAGGGGCCAGATATCTCATGGAGATGCTGAGGGCCAATTTCACCATTCACAATCTTGTAAGTCTATTTTACTGTTCACCTGTTGTGATAAATTTGTCCACTAGAGGGAAGCAAAGCATTAACTTCTGGCGTCTTCCAGGATCTCTCTGACAATCACCTTCAGTCTGCTGGAGCCGAGTGTGTCGCTAAGATGCTCCTGGAAAACATTTCCATTAAATCCTTAAAACTGTCAGGTATTTCATGCATAAGTACATTCAGCATGATCATATGGTAAACCTGATTCACAGTGACAAACCACAATGTTTATGTTCACAGGGAATAAGTTTGCTGAAGATGATGCCAAATGGTTTGCAGATGCGTTTGCTGTAAGTTCATGCACCACAATCTGTTTATACAAATCAAATGTAGCTAAAGTGATCGATCACCCAAACTGAAAATTCTGTCATCATTTACTCACCTTCATCTCTTTCCAAATCCATATGACTTTCTTTCTTCAGCAATACACAAATGGTAACCAAACACTTTTGGTGCCCATTGACTTCCATTGTGTGGACTAAAAGCTGAGACCTTTCTCAAAATATCTAGTTTTGTGTCTCACAGAAGAAAGAAAGTCATATGGATTTGGAACAACATGTTCATTTTTAGGTAAACTATAGTCACTCATTCATCTAAATGGGGGAAATGTGAAAAAATATCCACTAGATGTGACTGTTTCTCAACAAGAGCATGTGCTTTTTCATTGTACACCAAATATAAATCAAATCTAATCAAAGTGATTTATCTTAATTTTGGTCCAAAAAAAGGCACATAGGGGGAGTGTCTGAAACAGTTTTAGCTTTGGTTTGCTGTGCACTTTTTATGGGTGTTCTATTCTATTCTATTCTATTGTAATAAAAAAGGTAATTGTGGCTTTGTATCTCACAATTCAGATTTGTCTTGCAATTCTGAGTTTATATTTCACAATTGCAAGAAAAACAAATCATAATTGTGACATTGAAGTTGCAATTTGTTTTTATTTCTTATCCCGTGGCTGAAAATAAAAACTGAATTGTGAGATGTAAAATCAGAATTCTGAGAAAAAAGTCTGAATTGTGAGATATAAACTTAAGAGTTGCAATGTCTTTTTAAAGCACACTTTACATTACATTACCAAAGTTAAATTGTCAAATTAAATATTTCCTTTAGTGTTTTTAGTTTAGTAAGAGTAATGCATACAGGGTCGCTCAAAATCCCGTTTAAAAATTGTCTGAGAGTAAGATTGGCATGACAAGAACATGACTTTAAACACAACAGAAGGGGTTTTATTAGTCTGACACAGGTTTTGCAACAAAACATAAATAATTGCATCACTTATTTAGCCAAAATGTGCTATTGCATGGTTATTTATTTTTTAAAAAGTCCTCTTGTCACTTAAACAGTTGAGCAATGACACGAACAACACCAAGGTCATGAGTTCAGTTTCCAGGGAAAGCAAGAACTTACCAAATGTGTACATTTAATGCTATGCACGTCTTTTTAGATAGAAGTGCCTGTCAAATGCATGAATGTAGTTTAGCTTAGCATAGCACAAACTGATCTGTCTTGATGATCTACAACAAAGTATCCTGATAACACACAATGTTTTTGATGGGGCATTGAGGATGACATGGGGATCGTGAACTAATTCTGGTGCTGCAGAAATTACACACTGCACCTGATGCATGAGTTACAGAAACTGAATAGCAACTGAATACATCTCAACTCTAGTTCCTGAGAATAGAAACATCTGTATCTCCAGAGCAACTACAGAGTGAAGGAGCTGGATTTGAGTCACAATCAGTTCTGCGGCAGAGGTGGTGAACATCTGGGTCAGATGATAGGTGAAAACGACACGCTTGGTGTGTGAGAGTTAAACTTCACTGCACAAAGAAAGCAAGCACAATAAATACATGTATGTTCATGCAGCAAATAATGACGGTTTAGAAGTTCTTGATCTGAGCTGGAATCATCTGCGAATGAAAGGAGCTGTAGCTTTCTGTGCTGGACTGAAGGTACCCACACACACAAACACACAGCTCAGTGTCACATTGTGTCAGTGTTGGGGAAAGTTACTTTTAAAAGTAATGCATTACAATATTGCATTACTCCCTAAAAAAGTAACTAATTATGTTAGTTACTTTTTATGGAAAGTAATGCGTTACGTTACTTTTGCGTTACTTTTTAAATATGAGCTGGGCTTGATTGTTTTTAATATAAGAAGTTCTATTTATAGCAAATGTAAAAGCCCTTTCACACCAAAAAGTGTAATGAATAAACCTCAGGCTGAAGGAAAAGTAAATTCACGTCTGTACAGTAGAACGCAGGAGAAGAAACACTCTTCAGCAATAAAAAACCAATGAAGCACAATAGTTTATCTAAAGTCATTTTTGCTTATTAGTATGGTTGAACTGGATCATCAAAGGTCAGCAGCAAAGACATAAGTTAATAAAATGGGATTAGATACATTTGTGTTATTTAACATATTTAGTTACATATTCTTAGTTTGCATTTCACTGTTTTAATTCATTTTGATGAATACTAAATCTGTTTTTTGCGAGTGGGATGAATTAATGCACATTCACATTTAGTCTAGAACTACATCATGTTCACACAGCGCACACAACGCCTCTGTCATCAGGTCAACACGACTTTGAAACACTTAGACCTCTCGTTTAATGGCTTTGGAAACGAGGGCGCTTTGGCTTTGGGTGAAGCACTAAAGTTCAACAACACCGTGGTTCACCTGGACCTCAACAACAACCGCATCAGCGATGAAGGAGCGAGCCTGCTGTGTAAGGGACTGGAGGCCAACGACACGCTCAGAGTGCTGCAGGTGTGTCAGGCGGCTCTTTAGACTGTCAAGTTAGATTAGAATCACCTTTTTAAACATTGCACAAGTACAATGCAACACGATCATATGCAACAACTCATTTGAGTAATGAGCAGTTAAATTATGTTACAGGGCATCTCAGACATTATAGACTAAATGGCAAATTTGAGTCATTTTAAGGCAGAATCCCGTTTATGTTACACAGATTTTGAAAGTGATCAGTGTGATAATGATAATTGTTTTCTTACAGATGGCGTATAACTCATTGACAGTGGAGGGAGCTCTTACTTTGATAAACGTGGTCAAGAACACACCTAAAACTGCCATCGAGGAGATCAACATATGTGTGAGTGCAGCAGCGTCACGGCACACGATGCACAGTATAAATATAAATTTTCATAATCAACAGAGCTGTTATTATTTATAACTTAAACTTTAGTACGTAAACGTTCACTGTACTTACTGCAATGCCTTCAGATCCAATTATATGCAATTATGACTAGAAGCGGAAACACTAATTATTATGCATTATGCATTTATTGTTTCTTTTCCAGAATATTAAAAATATTAGGCTTATAAGTTGTGCATTGATTCAGACTTCCACATATTCTGTACCTTAAAGAAACAAATGCATAAGCACTGGACACCCCAAGGCAAAACTGCACCTTATTCATGCATTTGAAAGCGTATTCTCTGTGATCTTTAAAGAAACACAGACGATTAGACACACACGGTGATTGTGGTCGATCAGAAAAAGTGATTTTCACAAAAAGCTAAAAGTGAAGATTTTATTACATTTTGGACTGGTTTATGCAGCCCTGCACAACATTCAGACAACATTATATTTATTGTGGCCACAAATTAAGAATACATTCACCCATTATATGAATTCATTCCCTCGTTTTAGTTCAATCATGGCCATGAATTAAGAATTTGTTATCTAATTTTAGTGAATTGTGGCCACATTGTACTAATCTGCTTAAGTAAATGTGGCCATGGTTTATTAAAGTGAGGGAACAAATTAATGGTAACACTTTATTTTAAGGACCAATTCTCACTAACTAGCATGCATATTACTAGCATATTGCCTGTTTATTGGTAATTATAAAGCAGATAGTGATGTCTTATTCTGCATGAGCATTTTCTAGATCCCTTAACCCAATACATAAACATAACTACTACAACTACTACCTTACTTACTATCAATAAGAAGCAAAATAGGAGTTTATTGAGAGAAAGTTAATAGTGAATATGCGTTCCCTAATCTAATTTGTTACCATATACTTTTTGTCTATCAGTTTGGATCAGTCAAAGATAAATATTCCTGATGTATACAATTCTTGAAGGTTAGTCAAGTCAAAAGATCAGAGTGCTTACATCTTGAAGGCATAAAGAAAAACACATAAAAAATAAAATAAATAAAATAATAAAAACAACATGACTGTCAATATCATGGACTTTTAGTTTGTTTTCTTTCCTCATGCTTTCCTTGACCTAGTTTTCCCTCGTGTTTGATTAGTTCATTCTGTTCACCTGTGTCTAGTTAATTATCTTTATTTGCCTCTGTACTTAAGTTCCTGTCTGTGCTGCATTAGTTTGTCGGATCTCGTCTATGTTTTCAAGTGTGCTAAGACTTCCTCTTGTGAATTTTCCTTCTGTGTGGACAATTAAAGATGATTTTACCTTAATCTTCGAGAGTGTTTTTAGTGCACCGGAGTGTGACAATGACAGTGCATAAGATACATAAGATGATAAAATATCATATTCATAGGATCATATAAGTGGTCTTATACAGGATTCCATAGTTTCCTACATAAATCTAGCTTGTCATTTTTGATCAATTGGAACAATGGTGTTTTTTATGTGAACTGAATTTGTGTAAAAATACTGTAGAGTTTGACTGGACGTATGACCTCTGACATCACCAAAAGCCTTACAGGAAGTGTTTTGTCCTGTATTTATTTTACTGTTCTAACTGTGGTAACTATGGGACAGACATACCAGTTAATAATAATAATTAAAATAAAAAATAAAATTTAGAATGGGCATAAAATGTGTTTGTGTTGTAGAACGTGCTGGTGAATGAGAACTTCGTGCAGCTCTTGGAGCTGATCTGTCAGGAGCATCCCAGTCTGGAGGTGCAGTATGGAGGCGTTGGCGGCTTTATCGCCAAAAAACCTCGCAAACGCATCGACCCCATGAAAGTTATTCAGGTAGATAGTCCACACTCATGAGAATGAAATCTGCTGAAATCTGGATTTGTGTGTTTCTCAAATGTACAGTCTCACTACATTTGCTGAATTGTCTTTTCGAAGGATTACCTTGATCAGCGCAAGCTTCGCCTGTGGGACTTCTTCCGTAACATCGACAAGGATGGGACAATGCGTGTTCCTGTCGTAGACTTCAGGAGAGCCGTTCAGGTATTGACCTGGGTCCAAAAAAGTCCCACTTTCCTGAAAAGTAAAAAGTAAAATCCATGAAGCTCATTGATGAATGTCCAGAGTGAGCACAGCTGCAATCTAGACAAAGAACAAGCTCAAGAAGTATAAGAGAGTTTTCATTTGTTTGCATGTTTTCATTATTCCCAGACTTCCACTTGCGTTATTTCAGTGCTTTCATCATCACAGCACTACTATTCTGACATGTGGAAAATGGTTTAAAGGGGTCACATGATGCTATTTTAAAGATAATTATTTTGTGTATTTGGTGTAACAGAATATGTTGACAATGTTCAAAAAACACATTCTTTTTCAAATACTGTACATTGTAGGTCCTCTATGCCCCGCCTCTCTCAAACGCTTCGTTTTCAACAAAGCCACCTCCTTTGACAAGCGCAGTCTGCTCTGATTGGCCAGCTGACCCAGTGCATTGTGATTGGCCGAACACCACAAGCACGCGTCGGAAATGTAACGCCCCTTTCCATAATCGCAGCTTCAACTTTCAAAGTAAATATCAAGACGGTTAATAATGTCGTTAGTTTTACCATCAGTGTTTTAGGGGGGTGTGGCTGACTCTTAACTTTTATAAAGAATATCTCTTTGGATTTGAGACTTTAGTCTTTGCAACTTTACAGATCTTCTTTATGCACCAAGAGCTTGTAACACTCAAAAGAGAAAGGAACAATTGAAATCGCATCATATGACCCCTTTAAGAACGAGCAGATGAGTCCAAACAGCAGTGTAAAACTAGACCTAAGCATCAAACAACATTTTATTTTTGATATTTTATATCTGATCACAGCAATCCAGCATCCCATTGGAGAAGTTCCAGATTGAGGAGTTGATTCAGAGACTGGACAGAGACCGAACAGGCATAGTGGACTACAGGTGAGCTCACTTTTACTGCTCTACCCTCAACACTGAGCTAATGAAGCCAATAATTATCAAGTGTATGACAAAGCACACAGACACTGTGCACCTGGACGATTCTCTCCAATAATGCAACTTTGTGATCATAAATCATAAGCTCTGATCCGTACCCTAGAGAGCTGCATTACTGTCATCTGTCTACAGTACATAGGCAGTAAAGGGAACCTCATAAGTGACTAATTTTCAGTGCTCTACATCAGTGTTCAAACATCAGCTCTTCACTACAATATTACAGTAAGCATAAAAGTATATATCTTGAAGCTTTTATTGGTCCCACTTTATATTAAGTGGCCCTAATACCTGTGTACTTACATAGTAACTAGATGTGTACGTAGTATGTAACCACAGTGTAAGTACACATTGGTACATAGTATCTACAGCTGTAATATTTCTGTAACTACACATATGTAACAACCCACCGAATGGTATGTGTAAGTACAAATGGTTCCAATTACTCTTATGCATATTGTTGTTACAAAATGTAGTTATAAAATTCCAGTTACATGAGTACTCAGTGAAGTGAAAAACAGTGTTGTTACCAATGTCCTGTTACACATTTGTACTTACACAAACTCTACACAGACAGCAGCACAGTGTTCCTCACATGAAGCACACAAGAAACTTGACTCACAATTGATTTTGAATTTGGTGGTAACTTGTTGCCAACAACTCAGTTTTGTGATTTTTTTTAGGTTACTAGAGCTTTGTTTACACAGGTACAAAATATATTACACAGATATTGGTACACACATGTAAATAGAAAACAGAACACAGTTGTCCTCATGAAGCAGACGTGCCTGTAAGCGCTTGCACAAAACTTGTTGAAGCGGATACTTTGAACCCATAATTCCCAAAAGTGTATTCCCACCAATCCTGCTTTCTAGATTTTATTTTTATAGGATCAGTGTGGCGCTCACATTAAAATCTTCAGTTTGAAATGGAGATTAATAGAAACACAGATGTCGGATACAAGTGAAGTCATAAGTTGAATGTAAAAAGGCAGATAAAAAAATAAGATAAAAGATTGGAACTGTACCTTGTAGTGTAAATGTAGCCTAGGAGTTTTAGGTCTATATTGCACCACTTCCAGTTCTCATTGCACTTGCTGAGAATAAAGACGTTCACAGTGCCGTTACTATTGCTGAATTAATGTCTCGCTACCCTACAGAGGCCTGGCAGATACTAGGAAACAGATGATGCGAGACCACCGGCGCCAATTGCGTAAAGTGGAGTCCCGGCAGAAGAAGGAGAAGCAGAAGAGTGACAGGATCCTAAAAACCTTTGAGAGCGCCGTAGAGGCCGTCACTCCACGGAGCTCCATGATAATATCACCAGGTGCTGCCAAAGAGGACTCCAGTGGCCTTCAGCCATTCTCTGCCACCCCGCTCAGCTCCTGGCATCATATAATCATGTCCAACAGCAGCCGCTACTCTGTCAATAACATGAGCAGCGAGCATGTGCATCTTCCCATGATAGGGAATGCCTCGAGCTCACCAGGCATGCGCTCGTATTCCCAGCCAAATCTTTTCGCCAGCATCCCTAAACAATCCACCAGCAAACCTGCTTCTGCCCAGGGAATGCACTCTAGGTCCAACCCGAGCGTGTCCAGCAGTAAACTTAGCCCCACAGCTAACCTGACCAGATCCAGGCCTGCGTTAAACACAGAGCCAACCAGTAAAACAAAAGTTAAGGGAAAGAAAAAGAAGTCCAAGAAAATAAAAGAAAAAATATAACACCAAATGGACATGGTGCCCATGTGGTGGTGATGATTTTCAGTGAATAAGGACATTTTCGTAGGCTTTATCTACAGCTTGTACGGATTTTGTCACAATGTTCAGGGAGGTTTATAATATGTCTGACAGTGTTTTCAGGACAAGGGAGTGGATGAACCTATTCATCTGTTAAGATTTAACCTGTAAATATGTGTTTAAAAAGTAAATGTAGTAAAAACAGGTCTGATCCCTGGTTAAATGATGAGCTACGGCGTTGTAGACAAGCTTTTTAAATTGCAATCCATGCTTTGATATCATCAAGACTTGACTATTGCAATGTGTTATGTAAGGGAATTAGCCAGTCATCTATATCTAATTTGCAAAAAGTTCAAAACTCTGCTGCTAGACTCTTAATGGGTATTACGGTATAAAACGTGAAGATATTACTCCTACCCTGGTCTCCCTGCATTGGCTTTCAGTTTATTATAGGATTGATTTTAAACTTCTGTTATTGGTGTACAAATCCTTGCATGGACTCGCACTGGTCTATCTTTCAGATCTCTTAATTAAATATCAGACTGGATGAAGTTTGAGATCAGCGACTTGGAAGTTACTCAAAATTCCAAGGACACATCTGAGTCAAAAAAGAGATTGCGCCTTTGCTGTAGAAGTGCCTAAACTTTGGAACAGTCTGTCTAAACATATTAGAGACGCGGCTACTGTACAGGATTTTAAAGTACAACTCAAAACACACCTGTGTCAATAACTTTTAATCAGTGATAATTTTATTAAATGTGTTGCCTGTGTGATGCGTGTTTTTCTGTGTGACATTGTAAAGCACATTAATCAACTTGTGTTGCTTTAATTGTACTATATAAATAAAGTTGCCATTGTCATAAAGTTGTATCTGGGAGCTCAGAAGTCTTGCAATATACCACATGGGATATACAGACATTTTTTTTCTTACTTGGTCAATTATATTGTATCAGTTTTCTTTATTATATTCATGTATGTTGTGTTGCACTATTAGACTTTTAGTGCATGTGATTCTACTTTGATGAGACTCAAAATCATAAAGTTGGGACAACAAAATTCCCCAAACTGATTATGTAAATAAAAGGGTATGTAAAATATTTGAAGAGTAAACAGTAAACAGGTATATGTAACATGGTCGTGTCATTTACCAGCCTAACTACAGCTTCAGTAACTCTGTCATGGTTGTTCAAATTGGCAAATTTATTATGCAATTTACTAAATACCACTTTAAAATAACCTAGACGGCACCAGGATACACATACAATTTATTTGGTTTTACCAAATGATAGTTGAGATCAATGTGAATTGAAAATAAATGGCCATTTATAATTTATTACTCAACATAATAATAGGGTTGCCCATTTTAGCCCAAATTAAGATACTCAATAGTGTCTTGCTCATTTGGGACCAGTTTATTTTGCTTATAGGTTATTGGTAAACACATTTTTCATAAATTAAGAGAAAAATATTTTCTGATCATATTTCTTACTGATAAATTGGGTGACATCATTCCTTTTTAGTGCCAGTTTATCTGAATTGCACAGCGTCCTGCACTGCTGATAACATATTTCATGTGAAAGCACACCTGTATTGTTTTTACTGGCTATGTTTCAACATAATCTGACCAATGCCTTAAATCCACAAAGTAAATTGCATTAGAGGTGTTGTGTAAAGGACATAAGCAAATGAACATCATCAGTTGTCAGAGAATAATGCTGTGAAAGGTCCAGATGCTGATAATGTCACAAGATATGATGGTCTTTAAAAGCCAGAGAGCTCCGTTCCTACAACACAACTAACTGATGCAGGATGATTGCCACGCTTCTTTATTTCGTCCTCTTTGGGTCTGCTGTTGTCGAGGGGGTGAGTACAGTACAAGTTTATCTCTATAACCTGTTTAAAAGCAGCAGAAACTGAACAAAGAGCTTTACAATTTAATTATCAGGAAGCATCATGAAGCAACTCTGACCTACAGGATACATGCTTTTTACTCAGCCAAACTCAAAAGTTGAGATTTGAATGGTTCATCTATTGGAGAAGATCTGACATACAGCAGCGGTTTACTGCAGTTTAGCAGACACAAGAGAAACTATGTTCACCCATAGATTTTAAAGAGGCAGAAAGTAAAACTTTGACTGGAAGAGCTCACATACTTGAAAGTGTATAAACGATCGACGTAAATGCAATGTAGTTGAGCCATGTAAAGCCTTAAAAACAAAGGGTAACACTTTAGTTGAGGGACCAGTTTTCACTATTAATTAGTTGCTTATTAGCATGCATATTACTAGCATATTGGCTGTTTATTAGTACTTATAAAGCACATATAAATGCCTTATTCTGCATAACCATATTCTAGATCCCTTACACCTACCTCATACCTGAACTTAACAACTACCTTAATAACTATTAATAAGCAGCAAAGTAGGAGTTTACTGAAGCAAACGTCATAGTTAATAGTGAGAATTGGTCCCCAAACTAAAGTGTGACCAAACAAAGAGTAGCACCTTGAATTCAATTCTGTACTGGAAGCCAGTGGAGAAAAAGATAACAAGTGTAATAACTTCCCTTAGTCTGAACGAGTTGCAGGCAGGACAGGTGGCACTGAGAGATTACCATGTATAGACAATTACAGTAGACCAGGTGAGAAGATATAAAGGCATACAACAGGTTTTTCACAGACAAAACTTCAGTAATCATTTCATTTATTAGTAGTGTGCCTCTAGCTCAAACAGTAGGGCAGGGGTGTCCAATCTTGCTCCTGGAAGGGTTTGGTGGTCATAGGTATGAGTATGATTCCCAAATGCATGAACTAATACAGTGAACTCCTTGAATGCAATGTAAATGACTTCGGGTAAAATCGTCTGCCAAATGCATGAATGTAAATTAATCTTGCTGATGTAGAAGAAGAGAAAGGCTGATGGCTTTCACTTGTCTTCTGTAGGCACTGAGTCCCTGGGCTGAGGGCAGCGCCTCTGGTGGAGAATGTATCTGTGAGGCTTTCCTTCCCAACAGCACATTTCCAATCAGAGAGCTCATTTCGCTGGAGAGCACAGCAGTCGAAATCAACTACAAACTGGAGATGGAGATTAGCAAGGTTTGGTACAACCTTAAGAACTCATGAGACTAAACTGAAGTGAAACCTGCAGAAGCTAATTGTTCTTTAACTGTTCTCGTGCAGGTGGAGATTTATGAGGTTAAACTAAAGGTCTATGTAGCAAAAATAATGAACCTGACAGTGCTGATCGAGCTGATGGAGGATGACCCCGACTCCTACAGTGAGCTCCACATAGAAGAGGTGAAAATCAAGATCAAGCAGGTGGAGGCTCTAATTGTGGAGCTGCAGGCGTCTATACAAACCACCACTGCCGTGCTCATATCCATACGCAAACAGGTGAAACTTTATGAACCTCTGCTCAATCAGCATAAATAGCACCCTTTGTGTTAGTTTGACAAAACAAACTATTAGATATTGTACAGGAATGAAGGTGATTCTTTTCAAAATCACTGACAACAGGCACAGTACATTCGGGGGTTATTCTGCGATAACAACTGGCTGGATGTACATTATCCCCCTTATCGCATGGCTATTTGCCATATAAGTAAATAATTAGACACAAAATATTGATTTGAGTTGAAATGTTTGAACGCAAAGCTTCCGTGAAGACAGCAGTTGCTAGTAAGCGGCAAGTTCAAACCAGACGAACATTTAAGGGATACGGTGCAGTCAAACCACTTATTACACAACATTGCAACACATAAATAATAATGGCAATAAAATATATTGATTAAAGACTAAACTGTTTTAAAATCTTACCAGTACATTAGTTATCTTATAATCCATTACAGTGTACAAAATTGTTGCAGCAGCTGCGTTTGTATGAAACGAGAGAGAGCGAGTCTGCGATACCAGAATTACATTAAATAATTGTAAACATAATATTGAATTGAGTTTTAATATTTTATTAGCTAACCAAATGCAAAGCTTTCACCAAGAAAAATGGTTCCCAGTGCTGACTTCAGTTACCCAGATGAGCCTGTGTTATCAGCTTCCAACGGTTGTTATCGAGGGATAACATACCTCGGAATGTTGTGACTGACCACTCAGAATCAAGTATTCCACAGAGCTGTATAATAAAAATGTATGGCCTACCCTGTTGCTGATCTGCTGGTTTCCCCAAAAGGTTTCTTAAGTTGCTTAACAAGCAGATCAACCAGTTTCACCAGAAAAAAAAGCATGCTGGTTGACCATCTTCCCCAGCTAAGTAGGTGTTTCAACATGGCAAAGCAACTAGTACTAAACCAACACTAGCCAGCCTAAACTATTCTGGAAGGGTTTTAACATTCAAACTCTTGCAAACATCCAGGCAAGGCTTTGTTCAGCCAACAATCAAAGTTGGCTCACAGTTCAGCCTTTCTTTGTAGAGTAAACATGAGTACAGCAAGTACAGCATCTTCCTGGATCAACATCTTTGATGAACCTGTAACAACATTCCAATAAACCAATCGGATTTGAGGACTAAGTTTACAATGTCAAATTATGCTTAAAAATTCACTGTGTTGATCCAGGAACATGCCTAACAAAATCACTGTGTTGAGTTTGCATGTTTTCGTAGTGTTGCTGGGTGCCACGATAACCCAAAGACTTGGGTTAAAGTGATTTGGACACTAAAATAATCATGTATGTTAAATCTGTGAAGAACTGTTCAGGATGATTTTGTACCTTTTACCTTACATTAATATTGTGATTAAATTTCATTTTGATGAAAAC